AATACATAGATCAATTGTGTAAAGCACATCTATACATTTGTTGCCCTCATCATTCCCAAAATCCGCTTGCCTCTTGGGTTCCTGGAATCAGCTCATTTGTTACATTACTCTTGATCATGCCCTACCAGGCCTCCTACACCCTCCTCACCACTAATTTGGATTACTTGTTGTTCCCTTGTCCCTGGGTTTGTTAACACCACTTCCTTTCCCCCCACTTACCCTCTCCCATGTCCCCCCCCCTAACTGTCGGTCCCATTGTTTTCCCCTCCAGATTGTTCATCCAGCCTATCCTATCCAAACAGACCTGCAGAGACAATAACATGCACAAAAACAAGACAGAGGAAAACCAAGCAACAATATACAACAAAACAATACCAACAACACACTACTGACAAAGAACAAAACAAAACAACAAAAAAGAAAAGCTTGTAGTTAGTTCAAGGACTGTTTGTTGGCCTTTAGGAATGTTTTCCAGTCCCTTCTATTGGGGCACCATGCCCTGGCCCCAAAGTCCACCTTCAGCATTCCCTGGGGACCACACCGCTCCATTCCCTTGCAGTTCCGCTGCACACGGCCAGTGCTTTGCCTCCGTATGGCGGGATCAGATCGGGCGCAATTCCCACAGTATCTCTGGTGCTGTCCCCTCAGGGCCATGGGTCTGTGAGGGGCATCATGTCTTACAGTGGGGCCGGCCATGTCCGCTCTGTGGACTGGCTGCTCTAATGGGGAGGGAGCATCGTCCTCAAGGCCTGGTGGGCCAGGATGTACTCCACTCTCTCCTCCTCCCCCTTCATCTGCTCCTGTGTGCTCTGATCAGACATGTTCCTCTCCCGGAGCTGCAGATTCAATACCGTCCTTTGAAATAAATTCTTCTGGGGGGAGGGGCAGGTGACCACTTAGTAGTTGGGATTGGGGGCCCCCCAGACCTCTCCACTGGTTCCCTACTCCACGCGGTATGTTGCATTCACATCTTGGAGCATTGGGTTGAAGTCTGGTCCCTTGGGTGGGTTAGTGGCCTGTGCCCCCGCTTCCCATTTCTTTTTATTATTATTATTTTTTCCCTTTCCCCACCTCCTTTTTAGTTGTCTACCATATGTATCCCTGTATTTGTTCTGGTCCCTGCCATATTACCTGGTCCTCAGCCCAGGAATGTTTGTATACAGTAGCTTTTTCCCTATGAGGGGCTCATATAATTCTTAGCACAATCCATACATCCATCCATTGTGTCAAGCACATTTGTACATTTGTTAACATCATCATTCTCAAAACATTTTCTTTCTACTTGAGCCCTTGGTATCAGCTCCTCATTTTCCTCCTTCCTCCCCGTTCCCCTCTTCCTCATGAACCTTTGATAATTTATAAATTATTATTGTTTTGTCATATCTTATACTGTCCAGCGTCTCCCTTCACCCACTTTTCTGTTGTCCATCCCCCAGGGAGGAGGTTATATGGAGATCCTTGTAATCAGTTCCCCCTTTGTACCCCACTTTCCTACCACCCTCCCGGTATCACCACTCTCACTACTGGTCCTGAGGGGATCATCTGTCCTGGATTCTGAGAACCACTGTTTTAAAGGAAAGCTTTAGCTTGTCACATCCCACGAGCTGGACTACCCTTTAAAAATGTTTTCCTCCTTTTACTTGTTTCTGTTCCTCATCAAGCTGCCCACAATTTGGAAGTGTTTGTGCCCACCTGAATGACGTTACCGTCACTCTGGGCCTCCTGCACGTGGTCAGTGCGCCCTGGCTGGGCTCACAGTGGTTCTTCAGTAGTGAGGCCCAATTTCTGACTTAGGTGTTAGCTGTGCTATGATAAGGTTTAGGCACAGAGATAATTGTGGAAACTCAAACACGCCATTGAGTCAGTTCTTACCCATACCAACCCCATGGGACAGGGTAGATCTGCCTGTGAATTCCCGAGACTGGGGTTATTTTTGAGAGTAGAGCGCCCCATCAGTGGGTGGTTTCGAACAGCTGACCTTGTGGTTAGCAACCCGGCTCACAGCCACTACTCAAGGGAACTCTGGTGATGACATTTGCTAAACATGCTGCTGCTAGCTTTTTTTTTTTTAATTAAAAGATCATTTTGTTGGGGGCTCTTACAACTCTTATAATCATACATCAATTGTATCAAGCATATTTGTACAGTTGTTGCCGTCATTATTTCCTAAACATTTACTTTCTGTTGAGCCCTTGGTATCAGCTCCTCTTTTTCCCTTCGCTGCCCCCAACAAGCTGACATTTGTACAGGAACATATTGAGGACCAAGATTTTTATTTTTCCATTTGCTCACAATGGACCAGATAGTACATAGTACAGTTTTTAATAATTTATTCACACCTGCGTGTATGTGCATATACCCCTGATAGGTGTGTACAACCACGAAGTGGTCACCACTATCAGTTAACAAGCATACTAATCATCCCCAAAGTTCCCTTGTGCCTTTCTGTTGTTCCTTCCTGCCCACCCCCCTGTGCCGGTTCCTAGGCCCCACGGATCTGCTTGCTTGGACTGTGGATTAGTTCACATTTGCTAGAATGGTGTACAGATGGAATCGTGCAGTGTGCATACTCTTGGTCTTGCCTTCTTTCACTTAGCAGATGTTGAGATTTTGTGTCCTATTGGTCATTCCAGACTAACCACTTTTGAATCATTTCATTCCATTGATTTTGTGTTGGTGCCTTGTGTTTCTTACTTGACAGAGCTGTGTTGACAGGCAGGGGAAAGATAATTGATGGGTAGGTGTGAAAGCCACAGGGAGGCAAGAAGTCTTACATTGCCTGCTTAGACAGGCCGGCTTCCAAACAGGATTGGTTAAGCCTGCCATAATAGGTCGGAGTTACTTGAAAGGCTGCTTGCTATTGGACAGAAAATGCTTCGTGATCAGGCCGCTCATAATTGCTGTTTGGAAAGAGCCAAGGACAGACCTGCACCCTTCTGGTGTGAATTTTTTTTCCTCCCCTGAGACATTTACTCTTGCTTTTTTATCTTTGCAGCAGTTCTCAACCTGTGGGTTGTGACCCCTTTGGGGGTTGAACTACCCTTTCACAGGGATCGCCCAATTCATAACAGTAGCAAAATTACAGTGATGAAGTAGCAACGAAAATAATTTTATGGTTGGGGGTCAGCACCACATGAGGAACAGTATGAAAGGGCGGCAGCATTAGGAAGGTTGAGAACCACTGATCTAGGGGAAGTGTGCACTTATTCTTCTGATTTACATATGAAACTGTTACCTAATTCGAATTTTGAACTGTAAAATGGAGGCCTACTACCCCTTGTGAAGTGACTGGAAATTTCGAGCACCAACGTTTTACTCGCAGGGCACAGGACCTGTATTTTGCCTCTGCCGAAGTGTTCGGTTTCCTCGTAGGCTTTTGACAGTTTCTGAGCCACAAAGCAAGTTCAGATCTATGAGGCTGAGAAACCTACGGTGAACGATGGTGCGATTCTTTTGGCGTTCAGGAAGCCAAAGGAGCTATCTTTGATGGATGTCCGTTTCTGGGAGGGGGAAGGGCACGTGGGAGGCTGGAGGGGGGACATAAATGAGGCTCTTGTGCATTGATGTCCTCTCCCCAGATTCCGACAAGATGGCGCTGACGACTTTGACGTAGTGATTGAAGCCATGCCGGAGGCGCCCTATCAAAAGGAGGAGGTAATAGTCCCCACATCACTTTAGCATTTATGAGTCCTCTTCTGCGGCACGTTTATTAGGCAAGGCTATTTATAAAAGGGGTGGGCTTTTTGTGAATTCTGCTGGAGGCTCCCTACCCAGGGACTGTGCTTTTAGAAACGGCCCTGAAGACCCGGAGGAGGGAGCCTGGTGCGGGGATGAGGGCCATGTTCATAACTCTCAGCGATACAGAGCCAGCTCTCACTTCTCCCTCTCCTGGGAAATAAATGTCATTGGGACAGATGTTGGGTGGCTGAGACTTTGACATTAAAATTTGTCATTCTGGTCTCTTCCTTTTGGGCAGCTTCCCTGCTTCTGCTCACTCCCCTGCTAGGAGATCCGGGTCCTCAGACCCTGCTCTGTGATTGAGAGCTTCCATTTCCTGGGGTTTTCTTTCTGACTCACCTGGCCTTCTTTCTTTGTCCAATGATTTGAAATCTGTGTGTCCGAAAACTCGTGCCTGGGGACATTTCCTGGCCAACCTCTCAGGATGACCAACAAAGGAAAGAGGTTAAATAGGAGAGCCGGAACAATACCACCACCACCAGCACCGGCACCAGCACCAGTGGCAGTGGGACGACCGGGGTCAGGAGGACCTGGTGCACTACAGGACACTGCCGCCTGCCCCCGGGTATCACCTTTTACTGTCAGACCACCTTGGTCTCACTGCGAGGGTACAAAGCCAAGTGCAAGACCTGCCCGCAGCCGTGGAGCCCACTCCCCCGTTGGGCAGCCCCACAAGGGTTGGCTTTCCCGTGGCTCTTTTTCCCAGAGATCACCGGGCCTTTTTTCCCCGAGTTGCCGCTGGCCGGCTCCCCACCACCAGCCTTTGGGTCAGCAGTCAGGGGACTTCAGAGGCCCTGCCCGTGGTAAACAGAATACCCAGGTAGTCAGTCAAGGGGCGGCGCTAGGACTTCACACCTGAGATGAGAGGAAAGAGGCTGGAGTGTGCTTTCTGGCGGCGAAGCCCCAGCGTGGGACAGGCTGCCGTGCAGCCCTGCGTTGCGTTTTCCTCCTTCCGTAGGCACAGGTACAGACCCATCAAGAGCCCCCACTTCGGAGAGAAAAGCTCCGTCAGATGAGGTGACACAGCCGCTTTTCCTGGAATTCTGACCTGTGACTAGTGAACGGCAGAAGACAGGAAGGTAGCCTGTGTGATGGTTACGGGGGACTGAGAAGAGTGAACCCGTTGACAACCTGAGCCCCGAGGAGCGGACGCCTGCCTGCACGGTGTTCTGCATGCAGTTGGCCACCCACATTCGGCCTTGGGACTTGGAGGAGTTTTTCTCTGCTATCGGCAAGGTAGCCCCCTCCCCGCCTCAGTCCTCTGCTCTCGTGAGTCCCCTCCCTTCTGTTCACCTTCTATGCCCAACTCAGGACTTTCTCTGGCCTGCTCTGTAGGTGCATGATGTGCGCATCATCGCTGACCGAAACTCGCGCCGTTCCAAGGGCATTGCCTACGTGGAGTTCTGTGAGATCCAGTCAGTGCCGCTGGCCATTGGGCTGACGGGGCAGCGGCTGCTCGGTGTGCCAGTCACTGTGCAGGACTCCCAGGTGAGCCGGCTTGGGAGTGGAGTGGGCATGGAGAACGCGGGTTGGGAGGTGGAGGGCTTGGGGCTCCCCACCTCATCTCCTCCTCCTCCAGGCTGAGAAGAACCACCTGGCAGCCATGGCCAACAACCTGCAGAAAGGCAGTGGGAAGCCGATGTGCCTCTGTGGGCGCCCTGCACTTCAGCATCACCGAGGACATGCTCCGGGGCATCTCTGAGCCCTTTGGCAAAGTGAGCAGCATGTGCAGGGATCCTTGGGAAGGGACCTGGGAAAGGTGGGGCAAGTGGCAATCTCTCTGTTACTCTCGCTGGGCCAGCTCAGCCCATAGGCTGCACTCCGCGGAACATGCGTTTGTGCCTGCATTCGGGCTGTGCAGTGGACCACGGCCTGTACACACAGGAAATCAGACAGTGGGGTCCAGTCTAAGTGAGGTCTGTTGGGACATGCTTTGGAAAGAAAGGGCCAACACCTTTTTTAAAGTGGCGACTGGAGAGCTGTAATTTGTCGGCTGATGAAGACAGGTGTTTAGGAGAGTCCGTCCAGGTGGGGAGAAAGGAAGGTGTGGGCGGTGGCAAGACTCCTCATCTTCCTTCCTGTTTCCAGATGGACCACGTCGCCCTGATGAGGGACTTGGAGACGGGCCGCTCGAAGGGCTACGGCTTCATCTCGGTGAGTCTCGACCTTGAGTGTGTCAGTTCTGTTTGGGCTTGTCCACCCGCCTGGTTTTGCAGCTTGGCTTCATCCTCCTCCCTTGGGAACTATCTGAATGACCCATAAGCACTGGTGCCTGAAGCTTGCAGTAGCCTTCTGCCCCTTGAGATGAGTACATTGCTTCCCATTCTCTGCCAGTGGCCCTGGTCCGGGGGTGCCCCTGGGACTAGGAAGGATTCCAGGCTGCCGCTCAAGGAGGAGGTGAGGCAGGGGCTCTGAAGGAGGGCGTCATAGGACTGATGGATTGTTCTTGTGCAGAGGGTGGAGGGATAAGCCGTCCTTCCCTCTGCCGTCTGCCCTGCTGGAGCAGTACTCTCACTGGAAAGGACTGTTTCATTTCAGTAGCGCTCTAGGGAAATAGCAAGGCCTCCTAACAGGGACACTCCAGCAAAGTGGGGTTTCCAGTTCCCGTAACTGGCCCCCACCCTGTGCGACTGCGGGGTGGGGAGGACTGGCGGCCAGCCACGAAGGCTGAGAAAAGCTGAGACTTGCTGGAGTCCGTCCAGGCCCCAGACAGCCAGCCCCACAGCTGCTCTCGGGGCAGAAAGGAAGTGTCCTGTAGAGGCCAGTCCCTGACACCCCTCTCCCCACCCACCCAGGAGCTGCCAGCGTGGCCCTAGGGCAGGCGACCTCAGAGTGAACACAGCCAGCGGGGGGGTTGGAGTCCTCTCAGCCCAGGGTGCTCTTTTCTAGCTCCCCATGTGACTCAGATGCAGAGAGGCCTCTGAGCGACCCTCTTGCCCTTCTGGGGCAGCTTAAGAGGTCACCCGCCCACCGTCAGATGTGCACAGACTACAGACCGGGACACCAGACTGGGTGTACAGTGGGTGCTGGCTCCTGAAAGGTCCTAGAGCATAGAAGGCCTGTGCTCAGCAGCACGCTGTCCGCAGCACTGGGTGGGCAGGAGGAGTGGAGGGGGCGGGGGGTGGATTGTGGGGGTAGGATCACAGTCTTAACTCTGGTCGCCAGGGTCCGCTCCGCCCCAGGGCAGGTCCCGATTCCTCTTTCTTGACTGGGAACGGAAACTGGCGACATGCTAGAGCTAGACGAAGCGTCGGGGAGCCCTGATTTCCAGCTCATGTGCCCCTTGTGAAACAGCTAGTTTACGGCTCTCCGTGGAGCCGGGAGACTGGGAAGTGATGGCTGCCGAGTGCGTTGGGGAAGATTCTTTCCCGAGAACCACTTTGGGGGACGCGTGCAGAGGTTACACTGCTCGGGAAATGGGGGTTTGGGCCACGGTGAGCAAGCCGTTGTCCTGTGACAGGGAAGTGAGGGGCGCTGCTGTTAGGGCTTTGGGCGCATGTCATTGCCCTCGGCTTTTTTGTAGTTTTCCGAGTGTGCCCGGCGGGCTCTGGAACAGCAGAATGGCTTTGAGCTTGCTGGTCGGCCCGGTGAGGGTTGGTCATGTGACAGAGCGGCCAGATGGTGGCACAGACATCACCTTCCCTGACGGGGACCAGGAGCGGGATCTGGGATCCGCAGGCGGGCGTGTGCGCTCCCAGCCACGCTGGCAGAAGGTAGACTTTCTCTGCAGGGTGAGGGCCTCAGGGCGGAGCATGAGATCCAGGACCGAAGAGCAACCCCGCCTTTTGTTCCCACGCTCTGCAGTGAACAGAGCGGGTCCCTTAGGGCCCTGACCCCAGCTGCTCTTACCGGTAGACTGAGTCTTGGGAAAGGGAGGCACGTGGTCGGAGCCCGGGCAGGAGAGCTCTGTGGTCACGCTCTCTTGCCGCCCCTCTCCTTCAGCTCTGAGTCCGGCCCTGAGCCTCGCCTCACAGTGCTTCCAGTTCTCCAGCCCCTTTACACCCCGACCAGGTGAGTCTCCAGGCCTAGCCCGTTGTAGCCTTCAGGAGTCTCTCCTCTTGGGCTGCCCATCGAACCTCACCTCCTGCTCCTCACCGCAGGTAATCAGTGACCCGGCTCACCACCTTCCGGTCTCCTCCACAGCTGCCCGTCCACAGCTCCCTCTCGCCCGTTTTGCGGACCAAGCCATCCCGAGGGCGTGGACATCGGCTCTGGGGGGAGCCCTGCCGTGGAGCCCTTTGCTAATGATAGGCCCAGTCGGAGAGGGCGGAATGACACCTGCACTGGCTCCTCTGGGCCTCCGTTTGTCCTGTCTCTTCCCAGCCACCTCGGTGATGCCTTGATTCCTCCCCCACCGGGAAGGCCATGGGGCATCAAGGGAGGAAGCCATTTCCCTCCTCTTTCTCCACCTTTACCTTAAAGTCTATCAGAGAAAACTCTTAGGCGTTTGGGCCGTGAACCTTGAAGGTGCTAGCTTGCTGCTCCAAGGGCCCTGGAAGACTTGGATGTGTTTTGGGAAACCTGCCTTTGACTTAGCTTGGTGCAGCTTAGGACCGGAACTGCCCTTTCACGGGGTCTTGGCTGAGGGTGGTGGGAGTGGCTTACCCCGTGTGGCCTTTTGGGTTCCTTGGGATCTTCAGGAATTTCTTCCCTCTTCCTTGGCTTAGCTGCCCTTGTTCCCAGCTCCTCCCTGTGGTCTAGGGTAGAGGGGGAGTCTGCTCCTCCACCCCACCTCCTGTGAACCTCTCCTGGGGCCCAGCCCTGGCTGGGCACGTGGGTCCTTCTCATTGGGATTTACACCCTGCGTCTGTGTATGTAAATAGACACATACACTTTGTACAAAAGGTGGTGCCCTGTCACGGTGGCTGCCGCCACGCCACCCGTGTCTATAGTCTCAGTCAGTTGGTGTGTCTGTCTGATTTTAACTTCTCATGAGCCAAAGACCACAGATGGATCTAGGGATATAAAACATTTGTAATGCCATTGTGTCTTCTCTTTACTTTTTTTGCTCAGAAAGAAGCCTAAAGGGTTCCGCACTGGTTTGCCTCTGCACCAGCCTCCCTTCCGCGCACTGTCTGTCTCCCACCAGATGGCAGTGTGACGGTCGTTCTTTGGGTACCTTTCTCAGGGTGCTTGTGATCTCCGGGAGCTGGATGGAGCACCAGGGGCGGCGGGCGGGTCCTGAGCTTACAGATCTCCACTGGTTGGCCTCTGGGTGGTAGAAGCCCCAGCTCGGTGTCCACAGGAGTGTGTCCATTTGCTCATCTGGGCTCCCCTGACCTGAGGCCTGCTACTGTGCCAGGTCACCCCCACGGCGGCTCTCCTCAGGCCACTGCCGGGACAGGACACAGCAGACCAACCACTCTGGGACCTGCTCCAAAGGGCCGGTGTACCTTCCTCTGCCCCAGGCCACCATAGGAAGAGCCGGCCAGGAAACAACCAGAAGCAGAGGCAGAGGCCCGGGGACAGACCTGTGGGGCTTCTCCATTCTTGACTGATCTCTATAGCAACTGAATGTTAAGACTTTATTTCATGCTAAAAATACAGATAATTGCTGTTAGGTTCTTAATTTTTTTTTGTCAGCTCTCTAACTTCTAAGTAGCTGATGACCTTGTAGTGATGTTAGCCGCCAGGGTTGCTTTTAGCACCAACTCCTTAATTACTTGAGGCCTGCTGGTGGCATAAAAAGGCCACAGGGACCTAGGACTACCAGACTGTGCTGTCACCTGCTGCTGCTGCCACCCCCACCCCTCTGGGTCCTGCCTAGCAGAGCCTGCTCTTTGGACCTGGGGGAAGGGAGGAAGATGCTCTATTTTTAGGCAGGAGCTCCTGGCCGTGACCCAGTCCCCTAGAGTTATCGATCTATCCACTAATGCATCCTGAGAAACTGCAGTGGGGACCATCCTTGTCAGTCATCCCGAGGCCATGGGCCAGGCCCCCATGTGGCTGGCTTGGACCGCTGTAAACTTCTATTAATACCCACAGGCCCGGCCTCCCTGCCCTCCTGCTCAGATGAACCCCTGTGCCCACCTGCTTAGCTTCCCACCCCTAACTAACTTTTGCCTCCCTGTGTTTCAGCATTCACGTTCCATCTAGCGCTTCCCCCGCACTGCCCCTTGTTCATAACCGCTCCTCCCTCCTCTTGCTGAGGAAGACAACTGTGGAAGTGAAGAAACATCTGAGCCCACTTCTGCTTTCTTCTTCACCCTATAAGGCGACGGCATCTAGTGGGTGACAGTGGTGTCACCGTGTGTGACTCAGTGCCTTCTCGTTACTCATCCATCTATAGGGGTGGTTGGAACGGAGAGAAGAGGGCAGCAAGCCATCTCTGGGCACAAGGCAAGAGAAGCCTCCTCCCTCCACCTGCCTGAGCATGAAACTAGATGGGGGTACGGGTGAAACTGTGGCCCAGAGGCTGAAACTGGCCTAGTGAGAATTTTCCCACCAGCCTTAAGTGGGGTTTTCATTGAACTTTTTGGCTTACGAGATGCCTTGGTGGCATAGCGGTTGTGAGTTGGGCTACTAACCCCAGGGTCAGCAGTTTGAAACCGCCAGCTGCTCCTTGGGAGAAAGATGGGGCTTTCTACTCCCGTAAAGCTACAGTCTCAGAAACCCACTGGGGCAGTTCTACTCTCCTGTAGAGTCGTTCTGAGTGGTCGACTCGATGCCAGTGAATTGGTTTGGTTTGGATTGTAGCTTACACACTTGTGTTTCTGATATGTAGACAAGTGACATTTCCTCCCTGTCCTCTAAACTGCACAGTGCTGGGCATTGGGATTCGACTCCTTCCTTCCTAGAAAACTGAGCGCCCCAGAGGTGAGCTACTAGTGGAAGCGGGCCTGGCCTGAGGTGCTTATAGACAGACACTGAGTACACACTCTTCCCTGTTACGGAAAGGGTCTGGTGAGAAGCCTGGAGCCGGAACACCTGGGCGGTGAAAAGAGGTGTATGTTGGCTCTGAAAAATGAGGTTCAGTGCTGGTGGCAGTGTTAACATGCAGCAGGACTTGCTGGTGGCCATTTTCAGGGCTCTGGCAGCCCAGTGCTGAAACACTTGGCTGTTCACCCAGAGGGAGGGCAGTGGTTCGAACCCACCGGGTTCCTCTGGAGAAAAGACCTGACCTAGCCGTCCTGCCCCGTAAAGATTTCAGACCATACCAGTGAGCGAGTCGCCACTGTGGGGCACACTGGAGTTGCCCCTGTGGGGTCTCTGCGGCCATCAATCCTTAGGACTGCCACCATCTTTCTCCCACAGAGCGACTGGATTCCGATCAGCAGCCAAACACTTAACCACTGCCACCACGGCTGCCTGGTGTAAAGATTTCAGCCGTGGAAACTGGGGCAGTTCTCTGCCGTGAGGCTGCTCGGAACAGAAATCGACCTGGCAGGTGTGTAAGGGCATTATTGTAGGCCCTTCATGGGCATTAGGCCTTGCGTTCCTCACAGCAGTTCTCAAAAGAGGTCCTTCCATCTTCATTTGGTAAACGAGGAAACGGATACCCAGAGATGTTCGTTAACTTGCCCGTAGTCACTCGGCCAGTTTGGAATTCCAATCCAGGCGCTCTGATCCTCACCTTACCTGCCTCTTCCCCTCTACGCGTCCCCGGTGGAGGGCTCCTTCCTCCGGGCCAGTGCTCAGAGCCTGAGAGCTAGGCTCTGGCCGGCAACCTTCTGAGAAGGAAGAGCCAATCCCGCCCTCACTACCATTGAATAATGATTGGAGAGCTAGAAATATATTTTCCCAAACGAAATCACCGTTATCTGAATACTATCCTTTAAGCTTTTTCGATTTCACTCTCACCCTTCACTATTTCTGTCTTAGAAGATCCTGATGTCTGCCGAGTAAGTCCCCTTCTCTGTTAGCCACATCCAGACTTACCAAAAGCCTCCCCTACAAGATACGACAAGGTAATAATTTATAAAGTATCAAGGGTTCATGAGGGAGGGTGGAGCGGGGAGGGAGGGGAACAAATGAGGAGCTGATGCCAGGGGTTTAAGTGGAGAGCAAATGTTTTGAGAATGTTGAGGGCAATGAATGTACAAATGTGCTTTACACAATTGATGTATATATGGATTGTGGTAAGAGTTGTATGAATCCCTAATAAAATGATTGAAAGAAGAAAAAAAAAGCCTCCCCTGGTGGCCTGCTTCCTCACTCCGCCAAGAGGGGGATGCAGCTGTACCTCTTTTTGGTGTTGCCATGGTAGCTTGTGGTGCTCTTTCTGAAAGTTCTCCTTGCCATCCACCAGAGATGGATGTTCCCATGGCAACCAGGTGAAGGCAGCAGTCGTGAGCTGAGTGCAGGAAAGGAATCCTGGTCTGAGGAACTGTGTGTCTGAATCTTCTGGCTTTGGACTTCCCTTCTCCTCCCTCCCAGCTGGTCCAGGCGAGCTGGACCGGCTTTACCCTCCTGGTGGTGAGCTTGTGGTCTAGAGACTTCTGTGAGTGTGAAGCAAAGCAAACCAGCCCATTTCGATCTCATGGGTGGCTACTCACTCAGCCATGGAGTTGGTACTGATTCAGCGACCCACAGGGCAGGGTAGAACTGGCCCGGTGGTTTCCCAGACTGCGACTGTGCACGGGAGTAGAGAGCCTCATGTCTCTGCCAACCCCCAGCCCATCCCCATCAAGACATAGGTGATAGGGGCAAGGAAAGAACTGATCGAAGATCTCTAAAAAGTTGGATGAGTTCAGCTATCTACTCTCCAGAGCCCTTAGGACTTGGCTGGCGTTGCTGGAGAGCCATTAAGCGGTTATTTTTGAGAGCCACGGGCAGATGGATGAGATGCCAGTCAGTATCCAATTGTAGGGAGGGGGAACGATGACCTTGGACATCAGAGGCTTGTCAAACTCTTGCCAGTGTTCTAGAATGAACAGGAGCTTTCTCTTCAGTCAGCCTTCAGTCCTGAATGGTGCTGAAACTCGGCTTCTTCCTCCCCACTCCTGCTCCTGGACCTGACCAAGCCAGGAGACCCTGCACCCCTATAGCAGAACGGCCACACTCTGGGGCCAGACTGCACAGTGTAGGTCTCTTCTCTGTCAAGAGAAAGTAAATGTTGAGTAAATTTGGGGTCAGCTGTTTCCCCTCTCGATCTCAGCTTCCACATCAAAGAGAAGTTGTAGTCGTAGTTGCAGGAATGTTGTGAGCGTCAAATGATAGGTTTGAAGGGCTTAAGAATGGCTAGCTTGTTCCTGTCGTCCTTATTCCTCTATCTCTGGTTCCCTAATGATTTCCCTTTCCACCGGAGCCCATTCTTCACCCAACCACAGAGAACACTCAAGGTTCACAGGAACAGAAATGAGGATTGGGCAACAGGGAAAATAATCGTGTAGTTGTTGGGGTGGGGGTGGCAGCGCTAAATTCCCAGACTCACAGGGTTCTGGGTACACAACCAGCTTGCTGTCAAAAACACACAACCCATCGACAGTCTCTGTTAATGCCCAAGACTCTGTCTGTATAATCACATTACAACCAGATGGTTTTGAAAAATCAAGGTGAACCCCCAACCCCCAAAAGTGCATTCATGCAGACTTAATGGCCTCTACCCTGTCTGTTCATAGGAAATCCTAGAGGTCTTCCTGGGTCGGCCCTTTGCTCAGCGCACCTCCGAACCTCCCCCAAGCATTCCTATAGCATTTGACTTTGCTGGTCTCCAGAGCCTGGCCAGACCCTGGCTAGTTTATTTTCTAAAGAAGCATTTCAAATCAGCACGGGTCATCTGCCTAAGGATAAGTCACAATTTCATGAAAAGGGGAGTGGAAAATGGTCCAGGATAATACCATCACTCAATTCCAACCTTTCCCTCAAACCTCTCCCCTAAAAAACAAAACCTGTTGGTGGGTTACCTGAGCACCTGATGAGAAGTGGGGCTGGGTTTTGGGGACCACAGTTGGAGATTTGCATGTGTAGTGTGGTGCAGGGAGGTCAGCAGGCTTCTTGGGTGCCTAGATAGGGGGCCAGGGTATAGGTTGCAAAAAGCATTCCTTCTACTGCTCAAAATCCCATTGCTTCTTGTAAAAGCTTGCTACATCACGAAGATCTTTGCATTTTTATTTCTTCCTCACAACTGTCTTGTGACGTCTTCTTGTTTGTGGCATCATGGGAACAGGTGAAGCTCAGAAAGACAGGTTTAGCGTGACGGTGGCACTGGACCTCCATCTGGACATGCTGGGCCTGAGACCAGAATGAGGTGGTACCCGGCGACCACTGTTAACTACTCTGAGAAGGATCATTCCAAGGCCCTGGAGAAAGTGGGAGAAAAGGATGGAACAGAAATCAAAACCCATAAAAGAGCCCAGGCTAGCTGATCTGACAGATCAGCGAGACCTCCAGGACCATGGCCCTGACCCTGCAGGTCAGCAATGGAGTTTGTGGGTGGACTAGAATAATCAGCCATTCCAGATCAAAATGGCAGCACTGGCCCAAGGACAAGGTGCAGAGGGTTAGGAAAGGAAGCGGCATGGAAGTGGGAGACCTGGAGGGTGTGGCGTAAGTGATGGTACTTTGAGGGGCTTCCAGTGGATGAGTTGAATCAATGTGTATATGGAACGAGTCAGCCAGGGTGCAGTGCAGCATCGATGGAAGGACAACATTCCTCTAGTTCTTTAATGATAACTCCCCCATCATGACCCCAGTTATACCTTACAAATTGGCTAGATCAGACATGTACATTGATACAGATAAGAGCTCCCGACACACGGAACCCAGGACAGATAAACCCCTCAGGAACAGCAATGGGAGATACCATGAGGGTAGAGAGAAGGTGGGAGGAGAAAGGGGGAACCGATAGCAATGATCGACACATACCCTCCCCAGGGGGAAGGACAACAGAAATGTGGGTGAAGGGTGACAGCGGATGGTATAAAATATGAAAATAAAAATAATTTATAAATTATCGGGACTTCCGGGAAGATGGCGACGGAGTGACACGTACCAGAGGGACTCCGCAGAATCCAGCCCAGGAGAGCTGCTTAGAGGGAACTTTAACACAACTAGAACACAGGAGGAGCATCATAAAGATAAGTAGGCACAGACCCACGGGGTTTTGAGGGGCTTGGGGCTTTTGGGCTTACCTCA